AGACTGCTCCGCTGGCCCCCAGGCCCCCCTCACTGCTGAAACCCAATCCTCTGCAGCAGCTCCAGCACCGCTTCACACAGCTCCACAGCCCCTGCTTGCCACCACTGCCCACACCTCACCTGGTCCCTGCTGTGGAACCCAGTCCCGAGCCACCGCCTATTCCTGGGGAAGGCCAAGCTGGACTCACCTCTTCTCACCTCACCAGGCCAGTGCCTTCCCACTTCTCACCTTGGCTCCTCTCCCACCTTCTCCTCTGCTCGCTTTGCCTGCCTGGCCATGCCTGGCCACCTGAATCCTGCCTCACTGCCCTTGCCAGTCCTCCAGCCCACCTTCGCTTCCTCCAAGCCGCAGGCCTCCTCTCCGCCCTCCTCCTCTCCAGCTACAGCCATGAAGAGCCCCTCAGGGCAGGAGGAGGCTGGGAGAACCACCTCAGACATCCATGTGTTCGCCAGCAGTTGCACGCTGCATGGGCTGGGCCATGTCTTTGGTCCAGGCGGCCTTACCCTGCGCCGCGGGCTGTGGGCTTCAGCTGTGCTCCTGTCGCTGGCAGCCTTCCTCTACCAGGTGGCAGAGCGAGTACGCTACTATGGGGAGTTCCACCATGAGACTGTCCTGGACGAGCGCGAGAGTAACCGGCTCACCTTCCCAGCTGTCACGCTGTGCAACATCAACCAGCTGCGCCGCTCACACCTCACACCCAATGACCTGCACTGGGCAGGGCCTGCACTGCTGGGCCTGGACCCCGCTGAGCACACTGCCTTCCTACGTGCCCTGGGCCGGCCGCCTGCACCACCCGGCTTCATGCCCAGCCCCACCTTTGATATGGCACAGCTCTATGCCCGCGCTGGCCACTCGCTTGAGGACATGCTGCTGGACTGCCACTACAGAGGCGAGCCCTGTGGGCCCGAGAACTTCACTGTGGTGAGCTGGCCGCCCCAGCTGTCCTACCCAGTGATCCACCATCCCCTGGGCTCCTCCATAGTCAGGGAACCACCCCAAGTGCCATTCTGCCTCCTCCGTCTCCCAGCTGGGTGGCACCGTACAGGGCACAGCCACTGTTCCCAGCTGGCCGTGCAGGGCCTGGTCCTGTGTGGGGCCCTTTGTGGGACCATCATCCTGGGCCAGAGGACCTCACTCTCTGCCAGGAAGGGACTTGCTTTCCTGTGCCTTTTCAATGTTCTGCCAGTCCCAGGAAGCAGCTGCCTGCTTCCTTTCCTCCCTGTCCCAGAAGGAACACTTGCCCCATAGGCTGTGCCTGGGCTTGGTGGGGGTGGAGGGACTGGAGGGGTAATGGGCACTAGAGAAGGCGCCACTAGGTAGTACAGGGCTTGGGGCATCCAAGAGAAGACCCAAATGGAGCCCAAGAGGAAAAGCCCCATGCCCTCATGCTTGTGTGGGGAGAGGGCTGTCATTTCCTGTCCCCCACCACCACCAGATCTTCACCCGGATGGGGCAGTGCTACACATTCAACTCTGGTGCTGGCGGGGTACAGCCACTCACCACTTCCAAAGGTGGTGCTGGCAATGGACTGGATATCTTGCTGGATGTGCAGCAGGAAGAGTATCTGCCAGTGTGGAAGCCCATGGGTAGGGAACACAGCGGGGTGCAGCTGCCTTTGTGGAGGAACGTGGGTATGGGGTATGGAGTGTAAATGGCATGTGAAAGGCTAGAGAGTGGGGGAGAGGTACTGGGAGAGACCCCAAAGTATGTGCTTCTTACGAGCAAGTGTGGCTCTTCCAAGCCCTGGGGAGAGGGGGCTGCCAAGGGAGGTCCCCCACCCCCACCCCGGGGTAGGACTCAGACCTCAAAGGCCCCTCCCTGCAGATGACACCCCGTTTGAGGTGGGGATCCGAGTTCAGATCCACAGCCAGGAGGAGCCTCCTGTCATCGACCAGCTGGGCTTTGGGGCAGCCCCAGGTTACCAGACTTTTGTGTCCTGCCAGAAGCAGCAAGTATCCTTAGCGTGCCTCCAAGTCTGCCCACCTCCTCCCTCAGCCCGCACCCCCGCCCCTTCTAAACCCGCAGACCCTCAGCCTGGCTCCAAACTCCAGCAACCTCTCACATTTTCCCAGATCCTCCTTAATGCTGCCCCTCCACAGCTAAGCTTCCTGCCACCGCCCTGGGGCGACTGCAGCTCCGCATCTATGGACCCCGACTATGAAGAACCCTCTGATCCCCTGGGTCCCCTCAGCCCCGGTTCCAACCCCAGCCCTCCCTACAGCCTAATGGGTTGTCGTATGGCCTGTGAGGCACGCTACGTGGCTCGGAAGTGCGGGTGCCGGATGATGCATATGCCGGGTAAGGAGTTGGGGGCCGGGTCCTGGGGCAGGGGAGCCCGGGTGGGGGATGCTCAGGACCCTGTATCCGTCTCCTCCTCACACTACAGGTAGCGCACCCGTGTGCAGCCCCCAGCAGTACAAGGATTGTGCCGACCCAGCCCTGGGTAAGGGCAAAGGTTCCCCGTCTGCCCCGTTCCGCCCTTGATCCCACCCTTGACATCCCCACCGCGCCAAGTTGGCTGCAATGACCCGAACCGGCCTCTGTTGCCCCCAGACGCCATAGTGCGGAAGGAAACGTGCGCCTGTCCCAACCCCTGCGCCATCACGCGGTACGCCAAGGAGCTCTCCATGGTGCGGATTCCGAGCCGAGCCGCCGCCCACTACCTGGCCCGGAAGTTCAACCGCAGCGTGGCCTACATCGCGTGAGTCTCGTCAGGGCGGGGCGGGCTCCTCCAGCCCGGTGTCCGGTGGGCCGGACCGCACTGGTGCCCACGACCTGGGTCAGACCCAGGCCCCATCAGCACGGGCTCTGGGACTCTTAGGGTGCCTGGTGGAAAACTCAGACCCATTTTCCTTGCAGAGAGAACGTGCTTGCCCTTGACATCTTCTTTGAAGCCCTCAACTATGAGACAGTGGACCAGAAGAAGGCTTACGAAATGTCAGAGCTGCTCGGTGTGTGCAAAGGGCCTGGGGTCGCCAGATACAGGCTGAGCAGGGGCCTGAGTTGACAGTCTCCCTGCCTTCACAGGAGACATTGGGGGCCAGATGGGGCTGTTCATTGGAGCCAGCCTGCTCACCATCCTAGAGATCCTAGACTTCCTCTGTGAGGTGGGTCGGGGCTCCAGCTGGGGGAGGGGAGGAATTGATCCTCTAGGGCCTGGGAAGGTGTGCCCTGGCCACCTGCCCCTGCTGGTGGTCCCCAGGTGTTCCAGGACAGGGTGCTGGGATACTTCTGGAACCGAAGGCGCTCCCAAACAAACTCCAGCACCAATCTGGTAACAGGCACACACCCGCCCCCTGCCTTGCCCTGCCCACTCTAGCGGGGTGCTAGGCCCCCACCTAGGGCACCTCCGACCTCCCCCTCTTCCTCCTGCAGATTCAGGATGGGCTGGGCGGCCACAGGACCCACATTCCCCACTTCAGCCTGGGCCCAAGGTAACACAAAACAGCCCCGAGGTCCAGGGAAGAGGCGCAGGGCTGCATTGAAGGCGCTACTCCAGCCAGTGGTATCTCTGCAGGCCTCCGGCTTCTCCCTGCGCTGTCACCAAGACACTCTCCACCTCCCATCGCACCTGCTACCTGGTCACACGGCTCTAGCCCTGCAGTCCAGGGGCTCAGGGCCACACCTCCATATCCCAGACACACCCAGCCTGCGTATCTGTGCTGTCTCTGCCCCAAATAAAGCTTGAGTGTATCTGACTCATGTTCCTCTTACAAGGTAGAGGCTGGCCAGGCTGACAGGCCCCCTCAGAAGCACCTACCAGCCATCTTGAGCTGGATGTGCTTTGCAAACACTGGGGCCCTGGCCCAGGAAGACTTCACAAGTCTCTGAAAGAGGATGGTAGTAAAAGGCTATCAGTCATTTGCACCTCAGTGCAAATGAATTTATGGGCATCTGAAAGGAGGACCCTCTTCCCAGCCCAGAGGTCAGGGGAAAACAGGGTGTAGTCAGTGGGTGCTAAGTGCACTATCAGGGCACAGCTGGAAAGGGGCTTCTACCCTGAGCCCAGCAAGTGGAAGAGAAGGCAAGGGGCTCTTCCACTTCTAAGAACACAGACTGGCATCCTCCTTTGAAGGTCATGATCCCTCTTTTCACATTTGGGACCAGGCATGGCACAGAGCCTGTCTCCATGGGAACAGGTTTGTGTGTGTCTGTGTGACAGTGGCTGGCCTCAAACTCTCAGCAGTCCTCCTGCCTCAGCCTCTGAATGCCGTTGCTCCCAGCATTCCAGGCCAATGGTTCTTGCACCACCAACCTCCCCACAAGAGTCAAAGACCCCAGTTTGAGATGAGGGCTGAAGGAACCCTCCCTTCCCCTTTTGCCAGGAAAGACCTCAGGCCATGGCCTTGGACCCCTTTCTCTCGTTGTGCTGCACCCACTGGAAAACTGGCAGAGGGGAGGGAGCAGGGGTATTCCCAGCAGAACCAGATCTTTGTCTTTCCCAAAGGTTTTGGGGGAGGAAGGGGGAGATGGGGACAACCATAAGGACAGGCCAGCCCTTTGCTCCCTGTTTAGGAGGAAGCCCATCTTTGCTCCAAGATGGAACAAAATGCAGAAGCCTGGAGGGGGGCAGTGCTGTCCTGACCCCGGCAGGGAAGGGTGGGGCCAAAGTCTCCAGCCTTAGTTTGGGGGCAGGGTATGGCCAGTTGGGTGTGCCTGAGCTGGAAGCAGCATTGCAGAGGATGCTATGGTGGAGCATGGCACCCCAGCCCCCTTCACAGCCACCCCACCACATCAGCAGATTGTGGGAAAGGAGCCAGTTTATGAAATTAAATAAAGTCCACGGAGGGGGTAAAGAACTTGGGCCAGGATGGCTTCACCTTGGCTGGGCCCAGCACAGCTGGACCTCAGCAACCCTCTGTCCCTCTACCCACCCCCCCATTGTGGGGCTTAAACAGGCCAGGCCCCAGCCTGGCAGGTGGGGTCCTGGGGCCTAAGGGGGACAGAAGTCAGAGAAGTAGGGGTGCTGCAGGGCCTCCTCTGCCGAGACGCGCTGCACAGGATTACACTTCAATAGGTTCTGCAGATTTGAGAGAAAAAGCACCAGGTTCAGGCCAGGGTGGCTGCCATAGCCCTGCCCTGTCTGCCCACATCCCTCTGGACACATCCTGGTCACCTACCTGCAGCAAGTCCCTTCCTGTAGCGTTGAGCTTGGGCACTACATTCACCAGGGATGTTGTGGCTGGGTACATCGGGTAGGGCTGCAGAGGGGCAGAGAGTTGGACTGGGGTGTGTGGACCAGGGGTGCAGGCTGCTCGCCTTTGGAAATACTGAGACCTCTGATGACCCCTGAGCCCGCCCTTTCCTCATCACACCTTATACTCCGGCAGCTTGGTCATGGCAGGCCACTGCTCCTCAGTTGGTGTCCCTAGCAGCGTGTCCACAGGGTCAAGGTCACTCATGGAAAGTGCTCTGCACCTCCAGGGGCAGGGGAAGGGCTCTTCCCCCTCAGGGGTGGAGCTGCTCATACTTGCTTTTCCCTGCCTCTCCCACTCTGCACTTCAGTTCTTGACAAGCACACGCCTGTTGGCTCCCATTCACCCCACTTCACTGCCAGGCACATTCTAGATGTTAACTAATATAACCCAACCCATGGCGTTGTGGTCCTAATGAGTCATCCTTCCCCTCTTACCTTCTGGCTCCTGTATCCTGAGTTCACCTCCCACCTCAGGAGCAACCTCCGTGCTGGAAGGCTATACCTTCGTAGGGACGGCATGAACCTGCTCAGGGACAGCGACCTCTGCTCCCACCACTGGAGAGGCCCTGGATCTCCCCTCCTGGACCAGGTCATCGTTACCCTCACCCCTGTTCTAAGCTTCCTGCCCACTCCCGTTCTGCAGGGAGGGCAAGTGTGGTGGCTAAAGGGAAGTGGAAGGATATCGGAAGATCCTCTTCAGCTGGTCATCCACATCATTGCCAGGGAAAAGAGGCCGCCCGGCATTGGCCAGCTCTGGGAGGAAGAGGGGAGCTAAGCCATGACACACGAAGTATCCCTCCCTCCATGTACCCTCCCCACTGTGCATCTTCCACCCCCAGCCCTCAGGGTCCTGCTCCCTCTCCCCACAGGGGACCCTTCAGTTGCCATATGTCAACCACAAAGGGCAAGAAAGTGCTACCAGCACATTACCTGCAAAGATGCACCCGGCTGACCACATGTCGATGGACGTGGAATACAGCTTGGCCCCAAAGAGGACATCCGGTGGGCGGTACCAGAGTGTGACCACCTGGAGAAGAGCCCGCCCACAAGGGCCCTAACTTAGAGGGCTAGGGAGGAGGTTCCAGGAGGCAGCTCAGACAGAAGATGGGAACAGTGCTGGGAGTCCAGGACACTCACTGGGAACTCCCTCCTGAAGCCCATGTCCCTTCCCCAGCTCACCTCAGCAGAGTAGCATCGGACTGGGATCCCAAAGGCTCGAGCCAAGCCAAAATCAGCCAACTTCAGCTCCCCGTTCTGAGAGGAGATGAGGGGGAACATGAGAGGGGGCAGAGGCTCCAGCTCCCCTTTCCCTGGCCCACCCCGCAGGACTCCCCAACTGCTGACCCCAGCCTCCATTCTCCCTTCTTCTCCAGTACCCTGTTTATGAGCAGGTTCTGGGGCTTCAGGTCCCTGTGCAGCACATTTCGGCTATGACAAAATCCCAGGCCTTTCAGCAGCTGGAAGAGGAATGACTGGGAGAGGGGTTAAACATACTGGGTATGAGGCTGTGCCATACAGATGGCCTGCTTCCTGCCTTGCCCTCTGCCTTGCTCTGTGGCCAACTGGACTTGCATTACTGAGCCCACAGGCCACCTGTTAACCTTCCAGGACCTTTAGAGGTACAACAGTAAATAAGCTGGCCCTGTTTCCCACCTTTCAGGAGCTTACAGCCTCATGGGACTTCCTGCCTTCCTAGCCCATCTGATTACCCCTACCAGGCCACACCTGAGCACACATGCTGTAACGATCAACACAAACGCAGTACGGTATTATAGTATTACTTGGAATCTGATTGTCCCAGAGCCTGGGCCAAGGCACTTCGTCTTGGGTCTAAACCAGTGCCCGGTGCGCAGCAAAGCACTCAACAAAGCACTACTTGAACAGGGCCAGGGAATTAGCTCAGTGGTGCCAAGCCTGAGTTTGATCCCTGGTGGTGGTGGGACACAGAACAGACAAACTTCTTGACCAATTGAAACATCTCTGCGAGCTTCCTTTTTGAATCTCTCAAATGCAAACACTACTGACATCTCGAAGCTTTGCTACGCAGGTCAAAGAAGACTACCTGAAAATGCTGGTCTTGCCCCTGGAGAGCAGCAACAGGGTTTGCTCATTCTCTCACCTCTCCAGGCCCAAATTTGCACTAACGGAGCACTTGCACTGAATTTGAACCCAACCCAGCCTCTCACATCCCCAGGACAACCCTCCCCTAACCTTCACAATCTCAGGATCAAGGTCACCATTGCAGCTGTCAAAATATTTTTTCAGGTCCTAAAAAGGGATGGGAGAATGGGACACAGTTAACCTCAGTCTGAGCCCAAGTAGCCTCCCAAGACTACTGTACTCCAAGCTCATCTTTTACCTGATCACAGAACTCAAAAACCAAAGTCAGCTTCTTGTCACTATGAAGGACATCATGAAGCCTAGGGAGAAGGAAGGGCTCAGAAGCGTCCCTAACATCCATTCTAATACCAGCTCGGCCCATGGCTGAACCCCAACCCCTCCAATACCCCGCACACAGGAGGGCAAACACACACACCTGACAATGTTCTTGTGCTTTAGCTCCTTGAGTAGGCAAATTTCCCGGAGGGCTGAACTGGGCACTCCCTATGTGGACAGGAGCCAGGACGAGCGGTGAGAACATCCCCAACCCTTCCAGCCCCTCCCCCACTCGGCCCCACTCCTACCTCGTCGTCATCATCCAGCCTCACCCGCTTCAGAGCCACAATCTCATGGGTCTCCCGGTTTTTGGCCTTGAATACTGTCCCATAGGTGCCTAAGAGAGAGAAGGAGGTCAGGGGTGAAGATGTCGCATCCTCTGCTACCCTAGGTCATTCCTCCCAGGAAGGGCAGCGTTTGAGTGCGCAAGGGAAGGGTTACGGGGTAAGGCTCGGCCAGGAATAGCTTTGTGCATGAGGATAGGGCAGGTGAGGCGCCGCCGAAAGAAGGTGCCTGCAGGGGCTCAAGGGTCCCGCTGGGAAGGAGAGCCTGAGGCCCTGGGGTAAGAAGTACTATGATTAAGGTGGTGGCCCGGACGGTCTGGAAATAGTGGGTAGGGGTCTAGGGGAAGAATGAGGGCCTGCAGAAATCCTGAGGTTGGAGGTCTGTAGCAACCTGAGGCTGGGAGTGGAGGTGAGGTTAACAAGTGGTGCTGAGCTGAGTCTAAGGGTGGGCAATACAGGAAGTGCCTGGTTGGGAGGTCACGTCTATAAGAAGCGCTGAGGTTGGGAATGGGGGTCTGCAAGGAATGCTAACAAGGGGAGGGCTGGTGTCTGCACGGAGTGTTGGGCTCAGCGGCCAGGGCTTCTGCTAGTGTTGAGGTCGGAGCTGCAGGTATTGCTGACCGTAGGGAGCAGCAAGGAATACTACAGGATCTGCGGAAGAAGACCTTGCAGGAACATGTCGTGGTTCCATTACCTTCCCCAATCTTCTCCAGTTTTTCATATTTCTGCATCGCGGCGGCCGCGGGGACCCTTGCGGCCCCTCGGTTCTAAGACT